TTCTTTGAGATGAGTCTGTCTCTGCCTCCCAGGTTCAAGCGATTCTCCTGCCTCAGCCTCCCGAGTAGCTGGGATGGCAGGTGCCCGCCACCATGCCCGGATAATTTTAGTATTTTTAGCAGAGATGGGGTTTCACCATGTTGGCCAGGCTGGTCTCAAACTCCTGACCCCAGGTGATCCACCCACATCAGCCTCCCATGGTGCTGGGATTCCAGGCGTGAGCCACTGCGCCCGGCCAAAGCAGAACTCTGAATCTCCCTAAAGCAGCACACCCTGGATCAGGGACCAACCCCCAAGGGGCGTGCCTCTCAGTAAGATCACCTGCCTTGGTGTATTAGGCCATTCTCTCATTGCTATAAAGAAATAGAGAGTGGGTAATTTATAAAGAAAAGAGGTGTAATTGGCTTACGGTTCAGCAGGCTGTACAGGGAGCATGGTGCTGGCATCTGCTCAGCTGCCTGGGAGGCCTCAGGAAACTCACACTTGTGGTGGCAGGGGAGGCAGGAGCAGGCACCTCCCACCAGGCCCCACCTCCCACACTGGGACTGACATTCCAACATGAACTCTGGGTGGGGCTGCACATCCAGAGCATGTCGCTTGGTGACTGAGATGGTATAAGAGACCCACTTCCGGCTGGGCGCGGTGGCTCACGCCTGGAATCCCAGCACTTTGGGAGGCTGAGGTGGGTGGATTACGAGGTCAAGAGATCCAGACCATCCTGGCCAACATGGTGAAGCCCCGCCTCTACTAAAAATACAAAAATTAGTCAGACATGGTGGCACACGCCTGTAGTCCCAGCTGCTTGGGAGGCTGAGACAGGAGAATCATTTGAAACTGGGTGACAGAGGTTGTAGTGAGCCGAGATCGTGACGCTGCACTCCAGCCTGGCGACAGAGTGAGATGCCATCTAAAAAAAGAGAGACTCACTTTCTGGCCTTCCCTCGTTCTCTTTTGGCCCCCAGGGTCCCTTTGACATGGACAGCTGCTTATCAAGACACTCCATCAACCCCTACAGTAACAGGGAGAGCAGGATCCTCTTCAGTACCTGGAACCTGGATCATATGTAAGCTCACAGAGCAAGGTTCAGACCTGAGAGTGCCTGCGGGGCCCTGTCCCTGCTGCGGCCCCGTCCCTGCCGCGGCCCCATCCCTGCCACGGCCCTGTCCCTACCACAGCTCTGTCCCTGCCACGGTGTTGCCTCCTTGGGTTTCAAGGGCTATGCCCGTGTTACAGTCACGGAAGTGGTGCCTGGCGGCAGCATGGGGGACTCCTGAGTAGGCACACACCATTCCCTCCACTATCAGTACATGTGCTGGACCTGGAGCCATCCCTCCTGTCCCCTCCAGTGCTCCCTGAGGATGGAGCTGGTGGGCAGCGTCCTTCCCCAGAACACAGGTCCCAGCCCTCGGCCGTCAGAGGTTCTGAGCCTCTGTGAGTTCGAACCAGGGCGAGCTTAGAAAGCGGGAGCTCCTGGTGTCACGGTAGGTAAGGGTGTTTTCCCCTTTTTCTTTTTCTTTTAGAGACAGAGTCTTGCTCTGTGGCCCAGGCTAAGTGCAGTGGCAGGATCATGGCTCACTGAAGCCCTGAACTGCTAGCCTCAAGCGATCCTCCTGCCTCAGCCTCCTGAGTCGCTGGGACTGCAGGTGCTCGCCACCATGCCTGGCTGGCTTGTTTTGTGGAACCAGCCTGCGCAGAAGTCTCAGCTGGCAGGAGTGTTTCGTAGCTGTGCGAGCTGTGTGGCTCTTACAAATGGGCAGGTTGGAAAACTTCATTCTTTTAAACTGAGATGCATTCCTTGAATATAACTGTAGCCTCGCCCTTGCTTTTTGAAGACAAAAGGCTTCAAATGCCCTTAAAACGGCTGTGCACGATGAGCATCCCTAATCGGAAAATCTGAAATCTGAAGTGCTCCAAAATTCCAAACTTTTTGCGTACCAACATGACACTCAAAGGAAATGCTCATCTGGGCATTTAGGATTTCGGATTTTTTTTTTTTTTTTTTCCTTCCCGAGATGGAGTTTTGCTCTTGTCGCCCAGGCTGGAGTGCAATGGCGCGATCTCGGCTCACTACAACCTCCACCTCCCGGGTTCAAGCGATTCTCCTGCCTTAGCTTCCCCAGTAGCTGGGATTACAGGCACGTGGCACCATGCCCAGCTAATTTTGTATTTTTAGTACAGAAGGGGTTTCTCCATGTTGGTCAGGCTGGTCTTGAACTCCCAATCTCAGGTGATCTGCCCTCCTTGGCCTCCCAAAGTGCTGGGGTTCCAGGCATGAGCCACTGCATCCGGCCGGATTTGGGATTTTTTTAAGTATGCTCAGCTAGTCAGTGTAATGTAAATATTCCAAAATCCTAAAAAAATCCCAAATCAAAAACACTTCTGGTCCTCAGCATTTCAGATGGGGACACTCAACCTGTATTGCTTTCGGAGTGAGGTATTTTTAAAGTATGTAAAACACTATGGTCATAGTTGAGCTTTTACCCTGTCCGTACTCAGCCCCTACACCTTACCCCGAGGAACATGCTCTTGTGAAAGGTGTGTGTGCCCTTCAGATCCCTGTCGCTGCACCTTTACCACATGCGTGTGCATTTGACATGCACCTACGCCATGGCCCACGCTGTCATCCGCAGTATACCTTTTCATTGCACACTATGCTTAGATTTGGCACATTCATTTTAGCAGGTGCAAAACACTTCACTTTTTGAATAGGCTCTAATTTTAACATCTTTCCATGCTGGTAGGCATTTAGGTTATTTCTAATTTCTCATCATTATAAAAATCCCTGGGATGAACCCTCTATGGAATGAACCCATATGGTCTGGTTCCGTGCTATTTAAAGTGTGGTCACTTTCAAGCATTAGCAACATCTGGGAGCCGGGTGGGAATTCAGATTCTTAGGCCCCATCCACATATAACCCAGGTGCCCGGGGATTGGGGTGTGCATCCAAGCATGGGTAAGGTGCCCCCAGCGTCTGAGCTTGAGTCCCTCTAGGGAGTGTTCTGGGTCCTAATGACACTGCTGTCCCCTCTCTGAGCCTGGCCAGGCTGCTCTCGAGTGTCCCAGCCTACACGCTCACCATCCGTGTGAGTTCATGTTTTCCCGGGTTCTTGCGACACTTGGTGTCATTGTTCTGCATCTTCCCAACCTGACAGGTGAGACACAGATTCTCTTGCTCTAATTTTCATTTTCCTAATGACTAGGAAGGCTGAGCTTCTCTTTCCAAGTCTGTGGCCGCTTGTGTCTTCTCTGTTGCTTTCCTTTGCTCGTTCTGTCTTGGGCTGTGGTCTTATTTGTGGGCATGCTTTACACATTCTGGATACATTAATCCTATGATATCTTTTTTCATAAGTTTTATTTATTTATTTTTTGAGATGGAGTCTCACTCTGTCGCCCAGGCTGGCGTGCAGTGGTGTGATCTTGGCTCACTGCCACCTCCACCTCCTAGATTCAAGCGATGCTCCTGCCTCAGCCTCCCGAGTAGCTGGGACTATAGGCGCACACCACCACACCTGGCTAATTTTTGTATTTTTTTAAGTAGAGATGGGGTTTTGCCATGTTGGCCAGGCTGGTCTCAAACTCCTGACCTCAAGTGATCCGCCCACCTTGGCTTCCCAAAGCATTGGAATTATAGGCATGAACCACTGTGCCTGGCCCACAACAAGTTTAATTTATTTTATTTTATTTTTTTGAGACGGAGTCTCGCTCTGTCACCCAGGCTGGAGTGCAGTGGCGCGATCTTGGCTCACTGCAAGCTCCGCCTCTCGGGTTCACACCATTCTCCTGCCTCAGCCTCCCGAGTAGCTGGGACTACAGGTGCC